ATTTTTTACTTTTTCGATTTTTAATTTTTCGATACTAAATTTTTAAGAATTCATAAATTATTGATTTTACAATTTTTCGGTTTTTCAATTTTTGACGTTTACAAATTTTTTGTTCACAATTCTTCAATTTATCGATTTTTTGGTTTTTCGGTATTTCGATTTCTCGATTTTTCAGTTTATCACGTCTTCAATTTTTTGACTTTTCAATTTTCGAATATTTCAGTTTTAGTATTTTTCAGTATTTCAATTTTTTAATTTTTCGGTATTTTAGTTTTGGAATTTTTGAATATTTTGATTCTTCAGTTTTTCGATTTTTCGACTTTTTACTTTTTGATTTTTTAATTTTTGACGTTTCTAAATTTTCATTTTTCAATTTTTCAATTAATCGATTTTTCGGTTTTTCGGCATTTCGATTTCTCGACTTCTCGATTTCTCGATTTTTCAGATGTTCACTTCTTCGATTTTTTTTTTTCAATTTTTGGATATTTCAGTTTTGGTATTTCTAGTATCTCGATTCTTTAATTTTTCAATTTTTTTTCTTTTTTGTCTTTTCAATTTTAAAATTATTCCATTTTTCTTCAATTTTTAATTTTTCCGTACTTCAATTTTGGGATTTTTAATTTTTCAATGCTTCAGTCTTTCGATTTTTCGACTTTTTTCCTTTTTTGTCTTTTCAGTTTTTACATTATTCCATTTTTCGTCAATTTTTTTAATATTTCGTTATTTCAGTTTTGGGATTTTTAAATATTTCAAATTTTCAGTTTTTAGATTTTTCGGCTTTTCGATTTTTCGATTTTTCGATTTTTTCCTTTTTCTATTTTTAATTTCTCTATACTAAATTTTTAAGATTACATAAATTTTTGATTTCACAATTTTTCGGTTTTTCAATTTTTGACGTTTACAAATTTTTAGTTCACAATTCTTCAATTTATCGATTTTTTGGTTTTTCGGTATTTCGATTCCTCGGGTTTTCAGTTTATCACGTCTTCAATTTTTTGATTTTTCAATTTTCGAATATTTCAGTTTTAGTATTTTTCAATATTTCAATTCTTTAATTTTTCGATTTTTTCCTTTTTTGTCTTTCCGATTTTAAAATTTTTAGATTATCCCAGTTTTCTTCAAGTTTTTAATTTTTCGGTACATATTTCAGTTTTCCAATTTCTCGATTTTTTGACTTTTTACTTTTTGATTTTTTAATTTTTGGCGTTTCTAAATTTTCACTTCTCAATTTTTCAATTAATCGATTTTTTGGTTTTTCGGCATTTCGATTTCTCGACTTCTTGATTTCTCGATTTTTCAGATTTTCATTTCTTCGATTTTTTTCAATTTTTGGAAATTTCAGTTTTGGGATTTTCAATATCTCGATTCTTTAATTTTTCAATTTTTTTCCTTTTTTGTCTTTTCAATTTCTAAATTATTCCATTTTTCTTCAATTTTTAATTTTTCCGTATTTCAATTTTGGGATATTTTAATATTTCAATGCTTCAGTTTTTAGATTTTCCGGCTTTTCGATTTCTCGATTTTTTAAATTTTCGGGTTTTAATTTCTCGATACTAAATTTTTAAGATGTCATAAATTTTAGATTTTACAATTTTTCGGTTTTTCAATTTGACGTTTACAAATTTTTAGTTCACAATTCTTCAATTTATCGATTTTTTGGTTTTTCGGTATTTCGATTTCTCGATTTTTCAGTTTATCACGTCTTCAATTTTTTGACTTTTCAATTTTCGAATATTTCAGTTTTAGTATTTTTCAGTATTTCAATTCTTTAATTTTTCGATTTTTTCCTTTTTTGTCTTTTCAATTTTAAAATTTTTAGATTATCCCAGTTTTCTTCAATTTTTTAATTTTTCGAAACATATTTCAGTTTTTCAATTTCTCGATTTTTTGATATTTCGATTTTTAATTTCTTTTGTTTTTTTGGCATTGCGATTTCTCGATTTCTTAGTTTTTTACTTTTTCAGTTTTGGGATATTTCAATATTTCGTTTCTTTAATTTTGAGATTAGTCCATTTTTTCAATTTTTTAATTTTTCGGTATTTCAGTTTTGGAATTTTCGAATATTTTGATTCTTCAGTTTTTCGATTTTTCGACTTTTTACTTTTTGATTTTTTAATTTTTGACGTTTCTAAATTTTCACTTCTCAATTTTTCAATTGATCGATTTTTTGGTTTTTCGGCATTTCGTTTTCTCGACTTCTTGATTTCTCAATTTTCAGATTTTCACTTCTTCGATTTTTTTTTTTCAATTTTTGGATATTTCAGTTTTGGGATTTCCAGTATCTCGATTCTTTAATTTTTGATTTTTTTTCCTTTTTTGTCTTTTCACTATTAAAATTATTCCATTTTTTTTCAATTTTCAATTTTTCTGTATTTCAATTTTGGGATTTTTTAATGTTTCAATGCTTCAGTTTTTCGATTTTTCGACTTTTTTCCTTTCTTGTCTTTTCAATTTTTAAATTATTCAATTTTTCGTCAATTTTTTAAATATTTCGGTATTTCAGTTTTGGGATTTTTAAATATTTCAATTTTTCAGTTTTTAGATTTTTCGGCTTTTCGATTTCTCGATTTTTTACTTTTTCGATTTTTAATTTTTCGATACTAAATTTTTAGGAATTCATAAATTTTTGATTTTACAATTTTTCGGTTTTTCAATTTTTGACGTTTACAAATTTTTTGTTCACAATTCTTCAATTTATCGATTTTTTGGTTTTTCGGTATTTCGATTTCTCGATTTTTCAGTTTATCACGTCTTCAATTTTTTGACTTTTCAATTTTCGAATATTTCAGTTTTAGTATTTTTCAGTATTTCAATTCTTTAATTTTTCGATTTTTTCCTTTTTTGTCTTTTCAATTTTAAAATTTTTAGATTATCCCAGTTTTCTTCAATTTTTTAATTTTTCGGTACATATTTCAGTTTTTCAATTTCTCGATTTTTTGATATTGCGATTTTTAATTTCTTTTGGTTTTTTGGCATTGCGATTTCTCGATTTCTTAGTTTTTTACTTTTTCTGTTTTGGGATTTTTCAATATTTCGTTTGTTTAATTTTGAGATTAGTCTATTTTTTCAATTTTTTAATTTTTCGGTATTTCAGTTTTGGAATTTTTGAATATTTTGATTGTTCAGTTTTTCGATTCTTCGACTTTTTATTTTTTGATTTTTTAATTTTTGACGTTTCTAAATTTTCATTTCTCAATTTTTCAATTAATCGATTTTTTGGTTTTTTGGCATTTCGATTTCTCGACTTCTTGATTTCTCGATTTTTCAGATTTTCACTTCTTCGATTTTTTTTTCAATTTTTGGATATTTCAGTTTTGGGATTTTTAATATCTCGATTCTTTAATTTTTCAATTTTTTTTCTTTTTTGTCTTTTCCATTTTTAAATTATTCCATGTTTCTTCAATTTTTAATTTTTCCGTATTTCAATTTTGGGATTTTTTAATATTTCAATGCTTCAGTTTTTCGATTTTTCGACTTTTATCCTTTTTTGCCTTTTCAGTTTTTAAATTGTTCCATTTTTCGTCAATTTTTTAAATATTTCGGTATTTCAGTTTTGGGATCTTTCAATATTTCAATTTTTCAGTTTTTAGATTTTTCGGCTTTTCGATTTCTCGATTTTTTACTTTTTCGATTTTTAATTTCTCGATACTAAATTTTTAAGATTACATAAATTTTTGATTTTACAATTTTTCGGTTTTTAAATTTTTGACGTTTACAAATTTTTACTTCACAATTCTTCAATTTATCGATTTTTTGGTTTTTCGGTATTTCGATTTCTCGAGTTTTCATCAGTTTATCACGTCTTCAATTTTTTGATTTTTCAATTTTCGAATATTTCAGTTTTAGTATTTTTCAATATTTCAATTCTTTAATTTTTCGATTTTTTCCTTTTTTGTCTTTTCGATTTTAAAATTTTTAGATTATCCCAGTTTTCTTCAAGTTTTTAATTTTTCGGTACATATTTCAGTTTTTCAATTTCTCGATTTTTTGACTCTTTACTTTTTGATTTTTTAATTTTTGACGTTTCTAACTTTTCACTTCTCAATCTCAAGTTTTTCGGCATTTCGATTTTTCGACTTCTTGATTTCTCGATTATTCAGATTTTCACTTCTTCGATTTTTTTTTTCAATTTTTGGATATTTCAGTTTTGGGATTTTCAATATCTCGATTCTTTAATTTTTCAATTTGTTTTTCTTTTCTGTCTTTTCCATTTTTAAATAATTCCATTTTACTTCAATTTTTAATTTTTCCGTATTTCAATTTTGGGATTTTTTAATATTTCAATGCTTCAGTTTTTCGATTTTTCGACTTTTCGGTTTCTCGAGTTTTTTACTTTTTCGATTTTACAATTTTTCAATTAGATTCGTTTTTCTCTCGAATTTTGTGCAACTTTTCGAATATGAAAACGGAAAAATAGCGAAATCGTAAAACTAAAAAATAAAAATGAAAAAAAAGAATCGAAAAAATATGAAATGAAAACTTTGAAAAATCTAAAATTTGGAAATAAAGCACTTGAAAAACTGAAAAAATTAAAAATTAAAAAAAACTATATTCAAAACTATTAGAACAATAAAAAGGTAAAATATTTTTGGATTTTGGACTACAATTTTTTTTATTTTTGGCTGCTGTATTTTTCGTATTTCGTAACGTGGCAACCCACAATATTTAGCTGTTTTAGATGAAAATATTGATTGCATTGTTTATCAATTACATCAAGTGTTAGTATCAAATATACAAATGAAACACCAAACACAAATAACCTGAAATTTTGATATTAATAATTTTTTTGATGTTTACGTGGATCCTAGAAAAACATCAGGTAATAAATTGGGAAAATGGGTAACAATGAAAGTGTAAAAGTTACCCAACAAAACCAGTTATTTCAATACTGTTTTACATAAAGACAAGTGTTGCAAGTAATAAATCATGTTTATCGCTCCTAGAGCAATATTTAAGAAATTTTGCGAACACTACATTTAGTTTCTTAAACTACGAACACAATGTATGTGTTAATAACGTGCTCAGTGTTGTTGATATTATTGATAAAATACTTAGTACATCATCGAAACTTTTATATTTTATCATGGAAGTTGCCTGGACCTTTGGCACTACCTTTAATAGGTAACTCTTTAGCGTTTTTTTGTAATAATGAAGGTAATCTATTCTGATATTCCGTGTTAGTACAAATATACTTACCTTAACTATTTTAAGACATTTTCCAGAGGGCTGTTAACATCATTTCAAATTACCCTAGTCCAATGAGGTTTTGGCTTGGTCACAAATTAACTATAATTTTCAGCGAACCAGAACAAGCTTCGGTAAAAACGAAAATTTGTATCTACCATTGTTAATTTATCACGTTTTAGAAAATATTGTCGTCGTCGAACTTTTCCGACAAAGGCGAAGTCTACAGATTTATGAAAGATTTTGATGGAGATGGACTTATCAGTGGATCTGGTAACAAAATAAAATTAATTTTTTTTTTAAGTATTTAATATTTATCAAAAGGTCCAAAGTGGAAAAACGATCGTAAATTGATGGCCCCTCTTTTTGGTAAAAAAAGCGTCCAAGTCTATTTCTCTGTAATTGTTCATCACACAAATATTTTGCTAGAAAAGTTGGAACCCTGCACACAGAAAGGGACTTGCAATGTCGTCAAATATCTACACCGATGTACAGCGGATTTTGTGAATGGTAAGTCTCCAGATAACACGAAAACAAAAAAAAATGATGTCTTCCAGAAACAATAATAGGAGAAAAAACTGACGCCCAAAATGGACATTTTGACGACTTTCTTTTGGCCATTGATAGGTCACACTTAAAAATATAGAAAAAAATTACACTCATAATTGTTGCCATTTTTAGAGTGTATGATCTAGTTCACGCCAGAATGGTGAAAGTTTGGCTACAAATCGACTGGATTTTTAAAATGACCCATTTTTACCACCAACAAACCCAGGCCAAAAATACCATTCACGGATTTTTGAAAAATGTAAGCCGCTTGGTGAAACGACAAAAAGTCGCCTGAGAACTTGTTTGATCCACGGACCGGTGTGCACTCAGGCCAATGTCGACTGTAAGCAATTTCTGCGGAAAATGGTTATTGTTTAGATTTCAAACATAATGTGTCTTATATGTTTCACTCGATTTTGACATGCAACAATTTTCTTTGTTGCACTATGTATTAATTCGTGTTTGGTACTAACAAAACGTCCTATTATTTATTTTTTTATAGTTTTTTATTTTTCGTACATTTTCAATTTTTCGATTTGTCAATTTTCGACCCCTCGATTTCTCGTTCTTTTGATTTTTCGATTTCTCGATATGCCAATTTTTGAATTTTTTTTACTTTTCGGCTTTTCGATTTTTCTACGATTTTCTAAATTTTACAATTTTAAGAATTTTCGAATTTCGATGTCCCGATTTTTTTTAATTGATGTTTTTTTAATTTTATGTTGTTTGGAATTCTCAATTTTTCAATTTTAATTTGTGTTTTTTTTAAATTTTCGATTTTTCGATTTTTCAGTTCTTCAATATTTTTTAATTTTTCAAATTTTGACGTTTCTGAATTTTCAGTTTTCCGATTTTTCAATTAATCTATTGTTTTATTTTACCATTTCTCGACTTCCAAAAGTTTCGATTATTTAGTTCTTCAGTTCTTCCATTTTTCGATTTTTCAGGTTTTTGTTTTTTCAATTTTTCGATTTATTAAGTTTGTGATTTTTCTACTTTGCTTTTTGACTTTTCGATTTCTCGATCTCAGTTTTTGAATTTTTCGATGTTTCGATTTTTCGATTTGTCGGTTTTTCGATTTTTTTTACTTTTCGGCTTTTAGATTGTTCGATGGTCACGATTTTTTAAATTTTCCAATTTTTTAAATTTTCGAGTTTCGATGTCTCGATTTTTTTTTTTTAATTTTCAAATTTGTATTTCTTTAATTTTTTGATGTTTGGAATTCTCAATTTTTCAATTTTAATTTTTGTTTGTTTTAAATTTTAGATTTTTCGATTTTTTAATTCTTCAATATTTTTTAATTTTTAAAATTTTGACATTTCTGAATTTTCAGTTTTCTGATTTCTCAATTAATCTATTGTTTTATTTTCCCATTTCTCGGCTTCCAAAAGTTTCGATTATTTAGTTCTTCAGTTCTGCAATTTTTCGGTTTTTCAGGTTTTTGTTTTTTCTTTTTTTCGATTTTTTAAGTTTGTGGTTTTTCGACTTTGCATTTTGACTTTTCGATTTCTCAATTTTCTAATTTTCCAATTTTTGGATACTTCATTCGATTTTTCAATTCTCGACTTTTCGACTCCTCGATTTCTCGATCTTTTGATTTTTCGATTTCTCGATATCTCAGTTTTTGAATTTTTCGATGTTTCGATTTTTCGATTTGTCGGTTTTTCGATTTCTCGATATCTCAGTTTTTGAATTTTTCGATGTTTCGATTTTTCGATTTGTCGGTTTTTCGATTTTTTTTACTTTTCGACTTTCGATTGTTCGATGTTTATGATGTTTTAAATTTTCCAATTTTTTTAAATTTTCGAGTTTCGATGTCTCGATTTTTTTTTTAATTTTCAAATCTGTATTTTTTAAATTTTTTGATGTTTGGAGTTCTCAATTTTTCAATTTTAATTTTTGTTCGTTTTAAATTTTAGATTTTTCGTTTTTTCTATTTTTCAATATTTTTTAATTTTTCAAATTTTGACGTTTCTGAATTGTCAGTTTTCCGATTTCTTAATTAATATATTGTTTTATTTTACCATTTCTCGACTTCCAAAAGTTTCGATTATATAGTTTCTCAGTTCTTCAATTTTTCGGTTTTTCAGGTTTTTGTTTTTTCTTTTTTTCGATTTTTTAAGTTTGTGACTTTTCGACTTTGCTTTTTGACTTTTCGATTTCTCAATTTTTCAGTGTTCTAATTTTCCAATTTTTGAATATTTCATTCGATTTTTCAATTCTCGACTTTTCGACTCATCAATTTCTCGATCTTTTGATTTTTCGATTTCTCGATACATATCTCAGTTTTTGAATTTTTCTGTTTCGATTTTTCGATTTGTGGGTTTTCCAAATTTTTAAATTTTCGTATTTCGATGTCTCAATTTTTTTTTAATTTTCAAATTTGTATTTTTTTTATTTTTTGATGTATGGAATTCTCAATTTTTCAATTTTAATTTTTGTTTGTTTTAAATTTTAGATTTTTCGAATTTTCAATACTTCAATATTTTTTAATTTTTCAAATTTTGACGTTTCTAAATTATCAGTTTTCCGATTTCTCATGTAATTTATTGTTTTATTTTCCCATTTCTCGAGTTCCAAAAGATTATTTAGTTCTTCAGTTCCTCAATGTTTTGATTTTTGAGGTTTTTGTTTTTTCTTTTTTTCGATATTTTAAGTTTGTGATTTTTCGACTTTGCTTTTTGACTTTTCGATTTCTCAATTTTTCAGTTTTCTAATTTTCCAATTATTGGATATTTCATTCGATTTTTCAATTCTCGCCTTTTCGACTCTTCGATTTCTCGATCTTTTGATTTTTCGATGTTTCGATTTTCCGATTTGTCGTTTTTTCGATTTTTTTACTTTTTGGCTTTTCGATTGTTAGATGTTTACGATTTTTAAATTTTACAATTTTTTAAATTATCGATAAATCGAGAATTCAAAAAATTGAAAAATCATAAAAAAAGTAGGAAAATCGAAAATTTAAAAATTCGAAAAATTGAAAAATTGAAATAAAGAGCTGAAAACTCGAGAAATCGAAAAACTTGGAATGCTAATTGGAAAATTATAAGATCGAAAAGTTGAAAAATTGAGAAATCGAAGCATAAAACAGTCGAAAAATTGAGAATCCAAAAAGAATAAAATCGAAAAATTAAAGAATTCCAGGAGTCCAAATAGAAAAATCAAAATACTGAAAAATCCTAGAAATGAAAGAAATATCCAAAACAATGAGGCATCGATAAATTAAAAAAGCAAAATCAAAAAATCGAAAGCTTAGAAAATCGAAAAATTGAAAAATTAAAAACCTGAAAAATTGGAAAATTGAAGAATTGACAAAAATCGAAACTTTGGGAAGTCGGAAAATGGGAAAATAAAGAAAAAATACTTCAGTAAACGGAAAACTGAAAATTTGGAAACCTCAAAATGTGAAAAATTGAAAAATTGAAATATTTCAAAATCGTAAAATTGAAGAGGACAATTTGGCGCTAGTGAAGAATCTGAAATCGCATTCATCTGTTCTAATAAACACGAAAAGTCAATCCAAAATTTCAAAAAATTTTCCAAAAAAGTAGTTAAAATTTGTACAATCTACCGAAAATTGGTGGCAAATTGTAGACAATTTCCCAATTTTTCAATTTTGGAAAATTGGAAAATTGAGAAATCGAAAAACCAATAAAGCAAAGTCGAAAAATCTAAAAATCAAAGAATTGAATAACTGAAAAACCAAAACTTAGTGAAATCAAGAAATGGGAAAATCGAAAGTAGATTAATTGTGAAATTGGAATACTGAAAATTTACCAACGTCAATAATTGAAAAATTGAAAAATAGAAATAAGTACTAAAGAACTGAAAAATATAAAAATCAGGAAATCGAAAAAACTAGAATTTAAGACATTGAACAATTAAAATATCGCAAAATTGAAAAATCAATAAATCCAAACATCGAAATATCAAAAACTAAGAATTCGAAAATCTAAAATTTAAAAATCGGAAAAATGAAAAATCGACCAATCGAGAAATTGAAATTTAAAGAAAGAATTTAAAAAACTGAAAAATTGTAGAATCTGATAACTGGAAAATCGAAACATCGAAAGACTGGAAAATCGAAAAACTGAAAAGCCCAACACTTAAAAATCGAAAAACTGAGCAATCCAAAAACCGAAACATCGAAAAAGTCAAAAACTGAGACATTGAAAAATCAGAGGATCGAGAAATTGAAAAACTGAAAAATCGAAAAGTTTTAAAAAAGAAAAATTGGAAAATCCAAAATTTAAAATCTCGACAAATTGAAAAATTAAAATAAAGAAGAACTGAAAACTAGAGAAATCGAAAAACTTGGAATGTTGAAAATTCGAAAAGTAAAACTTCGAAAAGTACAAAACTTGAGAAATCGATGTACCTATAAAACTGTCGAAAAAATGAAAAATCTAAAGTTTAACGAAAAATTGAAAATTCAAATAGTCAAAATTCGAGAAATCAAAAAATCCAGGAGTCCAAAAATCGAAATAATAAAAAAACCCAAAACTGAAGGAAATATCCAAAACATTGAGAAATTAAAAAAATGGAAAATTGAGACATCGAAAAACTAAAAAAGCAAAATCGAAAATCGTAACTTAAAGAATCTAAAAATTAAAACCTGAAAATCGAAAAATTGAAAAAATCCAAACTTTGGGAAGTCGGAAAATGGAAAAATAAAAAAAAGATTGCTTTGGAAATCGAAAAACTAAAATTTAGAAATTTCAAAATTTGAAAAATTGAAAAATCGAAATATTTTATCATCAACGATTTAACATGCTTCCAATAACTATAATTCGTTGTAAAGTTCGACCAGATGGTCGAAACGGGTTAGTTCTTCGTAGTGGATGTGTATCAGATCAGCTCTAACGAAAGTCGGCTTATAGATAAATCGCTTAGAGACGAAATTGGCCTGAGTGCGCTCTGATCTGTTGATCAAACAAGTTCTCAAGCGACGAAAAGTATCATAATAATTTTTTAGGTTGTACGAATCAACGAAGAAAAACGCATCACAAAAACCCAACTTTCTGGAACCATTTTGGACAACATTTTAAACATTAAAAATCAACACCCAAATTTTGCGCTAGGTGACGATTTAATTCACCACTTATCCACCCTGTATTCCGCCGTAAAATTAACTAATATTAAATCAAACACCCACTGACATATAAAAATTGTAGAGCGAAGACACCATAACGACCATCTCCGCTTTCACTTTACTCCTATTAGGAATGTACCCAGATGTTCAAGAACGGGTCGTCGATGAAATTCGCTGCGTCGTTGGCGACAAACACGACCCAGAAATCGGCGATTTATCGAACCTTCCTTATTTAGATATGTGTATAAAGGACGTGCTGAGACTTTTTCCCATTGCGCCTTTCCTTATGAGAACGACGAGGGAAAATTTTCAAATAGGTCTTGACGTTAACTTAAAAAACCGGAATGTGTATCTAAATGTAACAATTTTAGACCAGTTTGTTATTCCGAAGGGTTGCTCTGTGGTTGTTTCCATCCACAATATCCACCGAAGTTCGAAACATTGGGAGAGATCGGATGACTTTTATCCGGAGCATTTTTTGCCGGAAGCTGTGAAGAAGAGGCACGTGCATGCGTATTTACCGTTTAGCGCAGGTCCTAGGGGATGTGTAGGAAAGTCGTACGCTTATATGGCGTTGAAGATAATGTTAATTTTGATTTTGAAGAAGTATGTAATTTATGCGGAGGGGAAAGTTGGGGATATTGAGTTGAAGACCGATATTACGGTGCGTCCAAAGGGGAGACAGTTTCCGATAAAAATTGACTTTAGAAAATAAAATTTGTGCTTTTATTTGTAATCCGGTTGTCTAGTTTATACGAAACGTGTTCAAAAGATTTATTTCTAATGACTACCATTCTTGAAATTATAAATTATACCAGTACACTCAATTAGGCTATAGAGTACTCAATTTTAGCACTTTTATCAGCTTGGTTATAAGTGTGAAGCAGAAAAACGCTATTGGAGCATTCAATTTAATAACAAAAAGTATTCTACAGATATTAATTGAGATAAATAGCGTTATTTATTTACAATAAACAATCTCAAGAACAAAGTAACAAAGTGACTATATTATCCTAACAAATTCCAAACTATTAGGTTTTATAAAAGTTCACACGTGTTTTTAGATTTATTTAGTCGAAACATAATGTTTGTTCTTCATCAACACCAGTTTTATCTTCATCTTTGGTATTTGGATTTTCTTTATCTAGATGCTCTTTAATCTGCTTATCATTTCTTTCTGAAACAAGAAGATATTCAAAGTGCCTTTATTGCGTATACTCACGTCAGCTCAACCTTTACTGAATTTTTCATAACCATTCAAACATACGTTGTGTTCAGGAAGTTGATGTCTTGAACAACCTGAAATATCTTGTGATCTGGAATCCGCATCTTGTACACTTTCGAGTTGTGAGAATGCCCAAAAAAATATATTTTTTTTTATTTGAAATCGAATTTCTCTCGTTTGGATTCTTCTTCAACCTGTGCGATGTGTTTTGATTTTAGAAATAGCATAAAACATAATAAAGGCTTCTAGGAATCTAATCCTGGGAATCTATTAGGTCCAGATTTTAAAAATAACAAAAAAAGTCGAAAAGGCTGGAAATCTCTGGGATCGTAAATACAGCAATCTAAACGGTTAGCTCTGTTTTGGTTTTAGAAGTAGCATGAAATAGAATAAATAATCTTGGGAATCTATTATAACATTCGGTTTTTAAAAATATCAATCTTGAGGATTAACTGTGTGCCAGATTTAGAAATAGCAGAATATACAAAAAAAAAATTGTTTTATTTTAAAAAGTAACAATTTCTGGGATTAAAAGAGTTTTGATTTTAGACATAGCATAAAACAGAATAGAGATTCGTGGAGAATTTATCGAAAAACAACAATCTTGCGGGGTAACTGTTATCAAAATTTAGAAGTAGCATATTGCAAAAAAAGAATGTGTTTTGGGCTAAAAAGTAGTAAACTTTGGGGCTAAATGTGTTACAACTTTTAAAACAAGAACAAAGAGAGTAAAAAATCTTGGTAATGTAATGTACCTGTTTTAAATAATAGCAATTTCGGGGGTTAAATGTGTCTCGATTTTAGAAATAGCAAAAAACCAGTGTTAAGAACAGTCAAGAATCCTGGAAATCTTTTGGATTTGCTTTTAAACGTAGCAATCTTGGGGTGTGTCTTCATTTTAGAAATAGCATAAAACAGAATGAGGAATAATGAGAATCTATTGTGTTCGGTTTTAAATAGCAATCTTGAGGCTAACAGTTTTTCAGACGTAGAAGTAGCATATTTCAGAAAAAGAATGCTAGGGATTTATTGTGTTTTGGTCTAAAAAGTAGTAAACTTTAGGGCAAAATGTGTTACGATTTTTAAAACAGCAACAAAGAGAGTAAGGAATCCTGGTAATGTAATGTACCTGTTTTAAATAACAGCAATTTCTGGGGTTAAATGTGTCTCGATTTTAGAAATAGCAAAAAATCAGTGTCAAGAAGAGTGAAGAATCCTGGAAATCTCTTGGCTTTGCTTTTTAAAAGTAGCAATCTCGAAAAATGTTTCCATTTTAGGAATAGCATAAAATATGTTGAATAAAGAATTTCAAGAATTTATTGTGTTCGATTTTCAAAATAGTAATCTTCAAGGATAACAGTGTTTCAGATCTAGAAGTAGCATAATATAGAAAAAAGGATTCTGGGAATCTAATGTGTTTTGTTCTAAACGTACTAAGTCAATTTTTGGGGCTAAATGTGCTTCGATTTTGGAAGGAACCTTAAACAAAATAAAGAATCCTGAGAATTTATTATTCTTGTTTTTAAAAGTAGCAATCTAAGGGGTAACTGTATTTTGGTATTAGAAGTATTATAAAATACAATAAAGAATATTGGGAATCTATTATTAAGTTCGGTTTTTTAAAAATAGCAGTTGAGAGAACAAAGATTCCTGAGAATCTGTTGTATTCGGTTTTTAGAAACAACAATTTTGAGGTCTAACTGTGTTTCAGATTTAGAAGTAGCATATTAAAAAAAATATAAAGTAATGAACTTTGGAGCTAAATGTCTTACAAATTTTGAAACAACATTAAGGGGCATTAAAGAATCCTGCTAATGTTATGTACCAGATTCAAATAATAGCATCAGTTTCGAGAGTTAAATGTGTCTATATTTTAGAAATAGCAAAAAAGAGTCAAGAATCCTGGAAATCTCTTGGGTTTCCTTTTTAAAAGTAGCAATCTCGGGAGATGTTTCCATTTTAGAAATAGCATAAAATAGAATGAAGAATTTTGGGAATATGTTGTGTTCTTTTTTTAAAATAGCAATCTTGAAGGCTAACAGTGTCTCTGATATAGAAGTAGCAAAATAAAAAAAAGGTTTCTAGAAATTTAATGACTTTCCTTTAAAAATTTCTACATTCTTATTATCTGCATTATTTTGTAACCTAATTAAAGTTCCTATGCTATAATCTACAAAACTAAGTTTCCTGTCATACATTACTTTTCTTTTCTTTTAGATTTAGACTCTAATAAATTTTCTCTTGGAACCTGTATTTTAATTCCAACGGATAGTTGTCAAAATTATAAAGGGTTTACTGTTCGTTGTTACATTTGTGTTTTTTTTTTTGTGAACTTCAGTTAAAGTGTTACAGAGAAATTCATGTTCGTGATCTGTGATTTCCTTAATAAACGCGTAACAATTTAAACAATTTCGGCATACAGGATGTTTTTCAAATCGAACACCTCTATTTTCATTCATTCATTTTCATAGAGAATATGTCATTTGCCAATAAAAGATCTGTCAAAATCACTCTTATCTTAGCAAGTACTAGCCCCGCCCACCCGCCCTCTTCTCTTTGTAATGATTAATTTTATTTCTGTTTAGTATAAGATGCACGTTTCGTTTAGAGCAGATGAAATTAATCACTGAAATGGAGGCGGGGTGGGTGGGCGGGGTTAATTATATGTTCTTTTGTAGAATGGGATTGGGAACTAATAGTGACTAGGCTGCAAAAAATTGAAAAACAATCCCAATCGTAACTTTATGGTTGTACTATTTACAGTAAGATTTATTTCTTATTTCAGAAGAAAAAAATGCCAGAATGAGTGGGTGGCAATTATTAAGTTCCACTTTTTCCTACGTTTTAAATTCAATTTTATTGTTTTATCTGGATGTTTCATTAAATCATTTAAAATGTATATATACATATATCAACATAGAGGGTATGAATTAGTATAGAGGTTTTTTTTCAACAGAACACCCCTATTTTCTAGAGAATATGTCATTTGCCAATAAAAGATCTGCCAAAGTCAATGTTATCTACCAAGTACTAATCTTGAGAATTTATTATCTTTGCTTTTAAAAGTAGCAATCTAAGGAGTTAACTGCGTTTTGGTATTAGAAGTAGTAATAAATAGAATAAAGAATCTTGGAAATCTATTATTATGTTCGGTTTTTAAAAATAGCAATCTTGAGGGAAATAAGATTCCTAGGAATCTGTTGTATTCGGTTTTTAAAAACAACAATCTTGGAGGCTAACTGTGTTTCAGATTTAGAAGTAGCATATTGCAGGAAAAAGAATGCTGGAAATTTAATGTGTTTTGATCTAAAAAGTAGTAAACGTTGGGGCTAAATGTGTTACGATTTTTGAAACAGTATAAAAGCCAACAAAGAATCCTGCTATTGTTATGTACCTGTTTCAAATAGTAGCAATTTCGGGGGTTAAATGTGTCTCTATTTTAGAAATAGCAAAAAAGGAGTCAAGAATCTTGGAAATCTCTTGTGTTGCTTTTTAAATTTAACAATTTTGAGAGATGTTTCCATTTTAGAAATAGCATGAAATAGAATGCAGAATTTTGAGAAACTATTGTGTTTGGTTTTAAAAATAGCAACCTTGAAGGCCAACAGTGTTTCAGATATAGAAGTAGCATAACATAGAAAATAGGTTTATGTTAATTCAATGCACTTATTTTTTAGAAAGAACCTAAAGCTGAATAAAGCATTCTGAGAATTGATTATCTTTGCTGTTAAAAGTAGCAATCTAAGGAGTTAACTGCGTTTTGGTATTAGAAGTAGTAATAAATAGAATAAAGAATCTTGGGAATCTATTATGTTCGGTTTTTAAAAATAGCAATCTTGAGGGAATAAAGATTCCTAGGAATCTGTTGCATTCGGTTTTTAAAAACAGCAATCTTGGAGGCTAACTGTGTTTCAGATTTACAAGTAGCATGTTGCAGAAAAAAGAATGCTGGAAATTTAATGTGTTTTGGTGTAAAAAGTAGTAAACTTTGGAGCTAAATGTGTTACGATTTTTGAAACAGTATAAAAGCCAATAAAGAATCCTGTTAATGTTACGTACCTGTTTCAAACAGTAGCTATTTCGGGGGTTAAATGTGTCTCTATTTTAGAAATAGCAAAAAAGGAGTCAAGAATCTTGGAAATCTTTTGTGTTTGCTTTTTAAAAGTAACAATTTCGGGAGATGTTTTCATTTTAGAAATAGCATGAAATAGAATGCAGAATTTTGAGAAACTATTGTGTTTGATTTTAAAAATAGCAATCTTGAAGGCTAACAGTGTTTCAGATATAGAAGTAACATAATATAGAAAATAGGTTTCTGGGAATTTAATGCGTTTAGATCTTAGAAAGAACCTAAAACTGAATAAAGCATCCTGAGAATTGATTATCTTTCCTGTTAAAAGTAGCAATATAAGGAGTTAACTGCGTTTTGGTATTAGAAATAGTATAAAATAGAATAAAGAATCTTGGGAATCTATTATTATGTTCGGTTT